GGATACTTGGAAGAGAAAAACTTGGTGAAATTTTTCCTTCTTGAAGAGATTTCCTAATAAGGAAATTGATGATTGACAATATAATATTATATTATATATTTGTATTATACTATATTATATATAGCAGTACATAAATTTTATAGTTTTAAAAGTATCAAAATATTTAATAATTTACAATATATAACTAGAAATGAAAATTATTATAAATCTGAAGCTAATAATCATGTGTTAATAACAAAAAAAAAACTATACATTAAACAAGTATGATGAATGGAATTTATATGTGATCTCTATTTTTATCAAAAATCATAAACATATAATGTCCTTTATTTTGCTTCAAACAATAACTTTAATTTTTAAAATAAATCATTTTAAAAATATTTTATTTAAAAATACTTTTATTGGTTATGTTTAAATTAATATTCAAATTTATAATATATTGTTTTAAATGCAAATTTCAAATTAAAATATTTGAATTATGTTTTTGTTTTTAATTTAAAAATTAATTTTATATTTAGATAATATTATTAAACTTATGATTTATAGGTTTATTATATAGTAACAATATTTATAAATTATTAAAAAAGATTTAAAGCCTGAATTTGCTTGATTACAAATTATATATTAAAGAATATTAATTAAAATTATATAAAGATATGAACTTTTATTTTTTTAATAATTGTAAAATTTTAATAAATTATATAAAAAAATTAGTTATATAAAAAAAGGGGTTTGCTTTAATTTTAATTAAATTTATAACCATTTTATTTTTTATTTTTTTTTTTCAGGTGAAAAATGCTTTGTGCATATGCATTTTATTGAGTAGTTTATATCCAATTACAGATATACTAAGGTCTATTTAAGTTAACCTCGCTTCTACACCTATAGACTTACCCAGTTATACCAATTGAACATCTTGAAGGTGGATCTATACCCTAGGTGAGATATTTAGAGGATAGAAAATTATATCACTAGTTTATAAACTATCTAACCTAATCTAGATCCTGTCTCGACTGCATCTGTTATGGGAGAGACACAGTTATTACCTTTCAGGGGTATGGTTATAGAACACCCAGATATCCCATATATATTTTTTATCCAAAACTTTAGAGAAGATAAATCACTCTTTGTCACCACCCGCAGCTTCCGATTATACCAAGTACTTTTTTCAAAATATAACCTTCTTTTAAGCAAGTGCCAAATTGGGATAGCCCCAGGCTAGGATGTTCTTTGTATGACGAAGTCTGCCGTCGCCAGTTTTAATTAGAGTTGTGGACTTATACCGGAGTTAGACCAGAAGCCTTTCCTTGTGCAACCTTTTTTGCTTCGACCTGTTTTCAGTCCGCGATTGTCGGAAAGACCAGAGGTCCCATCTTCATGCAGCCTAACTAATTTTGGAAGATGATTTGCAGCTGATTGGGTATGACATGAATTGGAAACCAGTCAACCAATCATGAAGGTGATAAATTTTTGTAACCAGGTGGGGTTGAACCCTAGACCTTCACCTGGTGACCTATGGAGCTTTACCACTGAGCTATAGACCCATAGGTCATTTATAACTATTTTATATAATAACAATATTATAATAAATATATAGACTAGGTTATACTTAATCTTAATTAATATTTATTACCATTTTTTAATTAATAGTTAAAACTTTAACTTGAGATATTTCAATACAATACAGAGCTTAAAAAAGTTATACTCACTACAAATAATAAAAGAATTATATCTTTTGTATTAAAAAACTTAACAATTTCAATATTATAAATATATTGATAAAAAGACTATTTTTTTATATTAGCCATTTCAAAAAATAAAAATACTATTAAGCTTGTTTTTATATACAATAAAATAATCAAATTATCTTAATTAGACTCTCTATCCAGACAATAATCACAAACCAATTTCATACATATGACAAGTCGTTAAATTGTCATGTGAAATTATAGACAAAATTTTCTTTACCTTAATCCCTACTAACTAGATTAAAGCAGTAACAGAATTGTTAACTTTATTACATGATCTAATTTGGAAACCACATTGCTCCATAACCAACACCTTATCTTTTACTGGAATTAAGCAGAATCATGCCAAGCTGCATAATTCAACCAATTCCATTAATACAAAAACCAAAAACACTACACAGGTCAAAGACAACTCCAACAACTCGCAAGACAACACTATTATTGATTTATCCTCTACTATTGCTAACTTATTTATCTATTATAAATATAATTATTCCAAATATATTTATAGTCTAACAACTCTATCTACCAATTTTAATTCTATTTCTTCTGATACTGAGTAGGTATTCATAGCTGCTTGGTGCCATTCAGCAAAATATATTGTTTTAAATTTTCTTCTCAATATTAGTCATATAGTTACTGTAGGCAAGCTAGCATTTAACTCATTGTACCAGCATATGAAAGATATTGTTTCTTTTACTATATATACCATGTCATATACAAATCAAATAAGATGTTTACCTACTTAAAAAAAAAATAATAATAATCAAATTATCTTATAATAATATGGTCTACATTTTTTATTTCAAATATTAATAATTAAATAAATTCTTGTATATAAAATTATCTGTAAAATCAAACACAATATAACTAAAAAAATTTTAATTGCTAAAAACAAATTGATTAGATTCTTATATTAATCAAAATTATTTTTTATAAACTCATTATTTCTTGTTATTATCATATTTATTTAAAATGATTATAATTATTTCGGATATATTTTTATACCAATTTCTAATTAATTTAATTTAGTATCTCTTAATTATGAGCATGTATTCATAACTGCCTGGCATCATTTGACAACTAGAATTGTTTTAAAAAAAATGTGAAGATAGTTTCGCCATGAGAATTTTTAATTTTAACTTTAATTGATTTTATTAATATTGTTATGTAATCAGTGTGAAAAAATGCATAAAAGAAAGGGAAAATTACGTTAATAAAGATAAGTTTTTCTTCAGTCAAAAATCAATAATACTGTCTAACCCTTAATAAAAACCATCGCCCTTACCGATCCTTATAGACTCGCCGATCACTGTATGACAAGTAATATGTAAACAATAAAGAAATAATGTTTTTCTACAAAAAAAATAATATTTTATTAAGAAATAAAAATATATTTAATTAAAAAAATATATAATAGAACTCTGAACTATAATTCTCTTGATCTCCATGAATGCTGCCGCCTATCAAAATGTGATTCATATGTAATTAAGTGTAAATGAGAAATCACTCCAGTTTTTTTCTTTTTTTAAAAAAAGGTATAGATAACTTCACGCAGCTCGTGAAATATTGTATAAATACTTTTCGTTTTTGCAATAAAGTTTTCCAATAACGTCTATTAAACATGAAATTCACAATAATCGCTTTATTATGCAATGTGTTCTTTCTTCTTTTCTCTTTAGAAAGACTGCCAGGGAGCAATGCGGCACCAACTGTAAGGCCGTGTTCTAAATTCAGTAGCTATGTCAAAGGTGATGATCATATTGTTTCTGTACCAATGGAAGAAGTTCGTTCATGCCTTACTTCGTTCAAATATAAGAAGGAAGATGCAAACACGGTTTGATTTCTAAATAAATACCCGTCTTGCCTCATAAATTCATAAATTATTAAATTAGTTACAAATATAGATTGTTGATTCGATCATCAAAGCACTTACCGGATATTATGTATTCCTGGACTCTGCGCGTGATCCGCCAAAGCCAGGTAACACGTACGATAAAATTGACGTAGTGAGCGCTCTCAAAGAAATACTGCAGCATGATTTTAAGACGGATTACGATTTCGCGGTAATTATAATGAATTCTATAACCTTCAAAGGAGACTAACGAATTATTTTTATTTTTATTTTTTATACTGTATATACAGCTTAACGTGACAAATACGTTAGAACAATTAAAAGATGCACATACAAATTTCTTTCCTTATTGTTACAAAAACTTTATTTACTTCCAAGGAATAAACCTATATTCAACTGTTAATACTAATGGCCAACAATCTATCAAAGTTTGGAAGGACTTTATTGATGATTCTAATTCTGAATGTGATGTACTGTTAATCGATGATATACCCGCGGTTCAAGCCATTAAACAATATGCAAGAGAAAACATTGGTATAGTGCGCGATCTTGGAGTCCGATTTAATATGGCACTTACGGCGCCTTCTGCAGATGGAACATCTCTCTTTAACTTTTTTACTCGACGCCATTTTTTACCACTGAGTGATAAAATTACTTACACACTTAAATGTAATGGAGTAACAAAGAAAGTCGTACGTACATGGACAGCTTGTGGAGCGGCTTCTGCCTTGGAGTCTGTGACTAGTGCTGAAAAGTACTGGGTTCAAAATTGCGCGCCGTTAGCTGGTCAATCTAAGACACGAGCGTCCCATTCCCGAAAATTGTTTGGCAAACCGACGTCACAAAGACGAAAAACTTCAACAAATAATATTTGTGAAATAATTAGTCCAGACGTTCCAAGCCCTATAAAATTAAGACACGGTCAATTGCTGCACGAATCAAATTCTGCAAAGTTCTATTACTTACCAGAAAAGAATACAGGTGTTATGACATTATCTGAAGTAAAGGATTCAAACTTTACGGAAGGTTTCCAGAAATTTATTGATAAGGGTGTAAAGAAGGTATCACTATTATATTTACATTCTATTTTATTTTCTACATTAAATTGATCTTTATTTCTTTTCTAGGTTATTCTTGATCTCACCAATAACCCTGGTGGCTCTATTCTTACAGCACATAACCTAAACAAACTTCTCTTTCCTAAGACTGATCCATACTTTAACACTGACTTTAGGGTCAGTGATCTCTTCCGTCTGTCTATTCAAAATTCAAAAAGTCCAGATACCAGTATAGCTTATCACGGTATCTGGGTCGATCCGCAAACAAAGAAACCATTTAAAAATGATAAAAGTTTTATTGGTAATAATAAGTATACGCGTGGCGGTGTGACCGAACATTATACATCACAATTAATTGAGAACGATAATCCTTTATCAGCACATGTGCTACCATGGAAAGCGACGGATTATGCTATTCTAACAAATGGATTTTGTGGATCATCATGTTCGTTAATTGCGACACATCTCGCAGAGGAAAATAATATTCTCACCGTCTCCGTTGGTGGGCTTGCTAATACACCAATGGCATTTGCGTCTTTTACTGGCGGACAAGAATATGACCTTGACAGTATATTAAAAGAACTAAAATCTATTGGCTTAAGTAATAATCCTCTCGCACCACAACCTTTTCCTGTAAATGCCGAATTAACTTTTGCTATTAAAGAAGCGTATAGTAAGTCAAATCCAGGGGAGGTGTTAGAATTTTCATATCGACCAGCAGTAAAACGATTGTACTACGATAGTATAAGTGCTAGGGACCCAAGTGAGTTTTGGTTACAAGTTGCAGCCTTTTTGAATAAGGATAAATAGTTAATTTCTAGTTAGTATATATTTAACTGTCTTCTAAAATTAATAATTACTTATTTAAAAATATTAATAAAAGTCTCTTATCGCACGTGTGTATATTAATAATATTTCAAAAAAATCTGCGCAATAACTATCTCTTGGTCCGTTAATTCAAAATAAGTACAATATTATGTAATTTATTAAATAATGTAACAGGGAGAAATGGGACGCGATGTTAGTCACGTGACAAATAGTCGTAACAATGATAAGTCGGCTGAAATAATTAGGTAATAACGAGTGACGAAAGCAGTTAATAAGAAAAATTATGTAAGGTAGCTTTAAAGTCTCGTCATTGTACTATAGCTTATTATCTTATGCCCAAGCCGCCATAGCCAAGTGTAAAGAAAGAGAAATGTAAATAACGTGTAAAGTGTAAGGAAGCGATAGAAAAAATAAGTGAGAAAATTAATAAAGACTCGGTCAAATAAAAACACGCCTCAAATCACCCTTTCATTTACTTATCCAGTAATGGTTACGCGAATCTCTGCTAGAGTTAGCGACTGATTCGCCGTTACACCGTTACAATAAAAAAAAACAGAAAAAAAGCTGCTTGTTTTATCTCTAGAAATTTGTTTAAGGAACATATTCTTTTAATTTAATTATTGAATTAATCTACTCGTCGTAATCTTCGCATGTTACACAAACTCATTCATAAAAATCCTCGGGCATCTTTTATCAAATTTATTGATCCACTCAGAAGAAATCATAATCAACCTTGAAATTATACATCAAACTCTAACTAATCATTATAAAAACATCTTCCACAAGAGAATCATAAACAAAAACATTCTCAACAAGTGAACAGATCACTACCAATCTTTTTCTTATATTAATCTATCCATTTACATCACACTAATGACATCAATGATACTATATGAAATCTCTAAAACTATTAACAAACTTCTTAACAACAAGGCTCTTGACCCATCTAAAATTAATTGCTTTTTTATTAAAAAAATCCAATCAACTCTCATTCCTTTACTTCAAAATCTGTTTAATAACATCCTATTATTACAAGAAATCTCAACTAATTGAAAAAGCTATCACATATATCCAATTATCAAAAAACTTCAGTGGAAATATAATATTCAGCACATTTATCTATAGCATTAATAAATCTTTTACTCAAAATACTAATCAAAATATTTAGCAAAATACTTAGCAAATTTTTTTAAAAAAATTAAAGTTCTTCAAAAAACCAACATTGTTAGTCTTTCAAACCAAAATATATTTACATCATTTCAAATTCTAAACTCTATATACAACATTAAAATTTTTTTAAAATTCTCTCGTTTGATGTCAATAACTCTATTAACTTAAATATACTCAAAAAGGCTATACAAAGAATTTATATTTCAGATTTTTTTATCAAATTATCTTTTATTTGAATGCAAAGGTGTCAGTAACACAGGATTTTATTAGAATATAAATATTCAATTATATGACTACATGGTTTATTTAAGTTAATCTATATCTTCATCTATAGCTTTATTCAATTATATGAGTTTATCACTGCAGGATTGGGCCCACATATCAAGCAAAATCTTTGGAAAATAAAAAGGTTACCACTAACTTATAAATTATCTAACCTAACTTAAACTCTAGTAGTTGTCATTATACTTTTTAGAATTGATTAAAACATCTGAATAACCTGTTCAATACTTTTTATTTAAGATCTTGAAAAAAATATTATACTTGTTATTACTATCTGGAACTTTAATTTTTTTTTTTTAAGTACTCTTTTTTTAATCAAGTACTAGATTGAAATAATCTTAAGCTAAAGCATTCTTTGTACTATGGAGTTTGCCATACTAAAGAAATTTGTGAACTTTTTATAAAAGTCATATTAAAAGCCTTTCCTAATTTTTTATATATAATAACATCAAAGCAAATTCTTTTAAAATAAAACTTATTATTTTAAGCAACCTATTTCTTAATAAAAACCTTATACAAAACAATAACTATTATCCTAACTAAAAAAAAAAGAACCAATCAAAACTTTTGAAATCTGACTTTTTGAATATAGCATAATTACTTTTAACTATATCAAAATTTCTAAAGAAATTAAAACATAATATAAGTTTTAAAATCTAAAAACATAACTATTCCTATAGTTACTTATATTTACAATAAAGTTTTCATTCTTTTATATCAAATTCAAACTTAAACAATCTTTTTAATTTTTAATATAATCAAAACTTTTTAAAGAAAAATTGATATTATAATAAATACAAATTTGATATTAAGAAAATACTTCTGCAAAGTTATAAGCAACTCTATCTTGAATACTTGACAATACTGCCACTCCATACATTACTTAAAAAGAATGACCATAGAACTGTCTTCTTGTTTTATTCAGATCTCAAATTTTTTACAACAAAAAATCATGAGCAGCTTATCTTCATCAAAAGATCAGTATAAGCTGATTATGCTATATTGATATCTGGATTATCAATATAGACAGGATCAGTGACCCTTAATCACATTATCTTTGGCCATATAATTACATAAATCCAGGCCACAATCCAAAATTCAAGCACTGTACCACCTCCACCATCACCACTTATGAAGCAAATATGCAAGGTTTATAATACAACTAGTAGCTAGCTATTTTACCTTTTTTTTCTTTTCCCTTACTTGGGTTCTCAAATGTTCACATATAGTATACAGTATATTAAAAAAAATTGATCTTTTTTTTTATAATAATTTTTTAAATTTTTAATTAAATTTTATATACAATATTTTATTTAAAAAATAAAAACATATAAATCTTTATTTATAAAAAAAAATACATTAATAAGGAATTCAATTATTATCATTATCGATAATTAGCTGACAACAGTGTTTTATTGATTTAACAAGATTAGCTATAGTATCAGTTGGAATTTTTTGCTATTCTTCAATTATGAAATGTTCTAACTCATCAAGATTTGATGGTAACTGCTTTTCCTCTCTATTTTTAACAATATCCTATAGGTTTTTTATGGAATTAAGGTCCAGGCTATTGGCCAGCCAATCAATGATCTCGAGGAAAGTCTCGTCGACAAACTCTTGGGCAATTCGACTTATATGCTTTGAGTCATTATTCTGTTAAAACCTCCATCACCTACTAAGCATTTTTCTGATTTCTGGATGGTGTTGACGCAAGATTTCGATGTAAAATTCAGCGTTCATGATATTAGTAAAGCAAAATAAAAATGTCTTGCCTTTGATACAAAATCTCTAGGCAAAAATCTTTTGTTTGTTTTTAGGAAGTGGCCTAATTGGTTTATGGTCCTTGTACCATCATTTTATCATATTCCTAAACAAATAAAAAGTTGTCTCATCGGAAAACAAGGTTTATTCTTAACTATTTTAAGATATTTTATTATTTATTCGACTCACTTTTTCTTATGAAGGTCTGTGAGCATTGGAGTTCCCACTGGAAGAGCATTTTTATAATCAAGCTCTTTTAATTTCCTTCTCACAGTCGAGTGTGATATGGACTCTCTATCCTTGAAAAGTTTTATGGCCAAAGTTCACAAAGATAAGGAACTATTCTTGTTAATATAATGTTCGAGAACACATGCCTTTGCCAATTCGATCTTTTTTGGACGACCGTTGCCCCTCAGATATGTAACATTTCCAGTTTTTTTTATTTTTCAGATATTGTACTTAATTGTAGAGCAAGAAATGTTGATAAGTTTTTGGAGTTCCTTGAGCAAACGTATTCCCTGATTCCAGAAATGAAGAATTGTTTGGCGTTGAGAAGTTAACCTGATATTAGACATTTTTTTTAAAAAAAATTTTTTATAGAGCAATTCTCTTTAAATATGTCAGCATATGCAAGGGGTTATGTAATACTATCACTATAATTATTGTACAATTGTATTAATTATTTATTAAATAATTTTAAAATAAAATTATAATTTAAAAAATCATTTTTTTTATACATACTGTATGTCAACTTTATTTGCATTAGGCTAGAATTAATCTATGTACTTTGTATAATAAAGATCATTAATGTAATAATATAAAAACAAAAGTTTAATAAATGTCTTACCTTTTGCAAAAAAAAAAAAAAATTCTGCAAAACTGATTTTACAATTGTAACATATTCAATATTAAATTAATAACTTTTGCAAATTGTTTAAAATAAAATAAATATTAATATTTTTTGTTGTTCAAATAGATTTAAATCAGTTTATATTGAAAATTTTTAAATATTATTGTATACTGCAATTATATTTATTAATTTTTTTATATTAAAGATAATATAATAATGTTTTATAATTAGTTATAAAGATTGTATTATATATTATATAACCTTAATTAGGTTGAAATTATCAAAGTTTTTTAGATAAGCTTAAAATTACAATTTTTAATTTGATAACAATAGAAAATCTTCAACAATAGTATTACTTAAATAATATATTTTATATTAATAAATCATAAAGATTTGAAGCTGGTTGAAATAAAATCTTTATAAATATAATATTTTTTTCAAAGAAGTTTACTTTTTTTTTTTTTTTTATTTGCTGCAAACAAGCATTAAATGTGAGACATTTATTAAACATAAGTTTATCGTCATTACATTAAGAATCCTACACCACCTCATTTGGTGGGAGTTAATCCTAGCCTATCACATGAAAAAACCTTTAATTCGTGAGAACACCAAGTAGGTGGTAACAAACTATCGGTGGTTCATGAATGGCTAATGCC